GCCCCCTCATGGCTAAAGTAAGGTCTCTTTCCTCTTTGTTTTAAGCCAATGAAATGGATCAGTGTAACTTCTTGCAATTGTCTAGGTGTTCAAACTGAATGGTTCTGGGAAGAGCTGAGAATAATTGTTTACAAAGTATCACATTTAAAGGTAGCAGGGAGAGAGCTGGGAAACATGCAGCCATTTGTTTGCTAAACTCATCCTCTTTCTGCCTGTTCAATAGAGGGCGATAATGGCCTCTCCCTGTATCTTCCAAGCACTGATTCAAATGGGTTGTGTGGTGGTCTGCCCTTTGGGCAGACGATTGTGGCTGAGTAACTTTGGTGCGCCATTGCCCTTCTGAAAACCAGGCACAGGCACCATATTGTTTCCCTCCATCTGCATATATAGTGATCGCAGAGGGAATGGGGGCTGTGGATTCATTAATTGCCAATTAAAAGGAACCAGCTTAAGTAAATTAAGCCGGTCATCTGCAGGGAGATGGCAGGAAATAGTCACCGGCCATTCTCCCATTACAATTTGTAATGACTCTGAATTCAATAGCATTACCTCCCAATTGGACAATGACATGGGGACATATAGTACAGAGGGTTCAATAGCCATTAGGGCTTTACAACGTTGACGCCCTTTGTGAATAAGTATAGAGAAGAGCAAAGGTTTGGGGTTAATGGATTTACGAGGGGTATGAGGCAGATGTATCCATTCTACGATGAGAAGTTTAGAGAGACTTTGAGCAAGAATTGCAGTAGGTAGCTGAGGTGTATTGAGCAAGATTAAGGAAATAGGAGCATTGTTGTGACATCGGTCGACCCACTTTTTCTGCATAATGTGCTGAATGTCCTGGGTGATTTTCAATTGATGATCTGTAAGGGTAATTTTATCCCCTGGAGTGGTTCCTCCCTTTAATGCATCAAACAGAGGGCTGAGCATGTGTGTAGTGATGCCAAAATGGGGACGGGTCCAATTAATAGCCCCTAAATATTGTTGTAATTGTACGAGGGATGTGGTGCGGGGCAGGGCTAATGCTGGTAAAACTGGTGCCGAATAAGCCTGCATTAGCTTATGTCCTAGATATTGAAAAGGATGTTGTGTTTGAACCTTTTCCAGGGCTGTGTAAACTACCTTGGTGTAGCAAGGTGATAAGGTTGTCCAGGGTAGCCGCAACTGTGCCTTCCGGACCGGGGGCACCTATGAGAATGTCATCCATATAGTGGTAGACTATAAATTGTGGGTGTTGTGTTCTATAGGGCTGAAGGATTTGATTAACATAGTATTGGCACATTGTAGGGCTGTTGAGCATGCCTTGAGGCAATACCTTCCATTGATATCGTTTAGTGGGATGAGAATTGTTAGGTTGGGGAATAGTAAAGGCAAAGAGTTTGCGGTCTTCCGCATGAAGGGGGATAGAAAAGAAACAGTCCTTGAGGTCAATGACAACGACGTCATAGTTAGTGGGAATAAGGTTGGGATTAGGTAAGCCACATTGGAGTGAGCCCATGGGTTGTATGATGGAGTTGACAGCCCTTAAATCATGCAAAAAGCGCCATTTTCCAGATTTTTTCTTTATAACAAACACCGGAGTGTTGTATGGGCTAAGCGACAGCTTGATATGATCATATTGTAATTGTTCGGCTGTTAATTGCTGCAATGCAAGCAATTTATTTGCTGGCAACGGCCATTAATCAAACCAAACAGGAACGTCCGTGGTTAAGGTCAAGCGAAGGGGAAGAGGGTGAGTCATTCTAGCTGCAATTTAGCACCAAATTGAGAGAGTTAAGTCCCTCCCACACAAATTCGTGAAGGGGGAGGATGACGGGCTTTATTTGTACAGTCCCTGTGACGTTTTCAGAAGTCACAGGGAGCCAAAACTTACTGATGCGAGCCATTTGAATCCCTCCTACACCTCTTACCGATGGGGAGGTCTCTGTTTCCCAGTCTGTAGGCCACTCGTCAGAGCGTATCACCGAGACGTCAGCACCAGAGTCCAGAAGACCGGTGAAGCGGCGACCCTTGATTAAAGCCAAGAGTGTGGGCTTAGTTTCGGTGATAGATCTAGTGAGGGCAAGCACATCAGAGGGAAGTTGCGGTACCATGATCATTTTTGCTACGACGTCACCATTTGTAACTTCGTTGGAAGAGTGGATAGCACAGAAAGGTTAATGGCTGAGAGTTTTGAGGAAGGATAAAGCAGATCGGGAACCACAGAGATTCCTTTGAGGAGGGCATGAGGGTGAGATTGTATAAGAGCAGTTTTATCAGAGGAGAAGGAGGCAGAAGGAGGAAGCTGTGCGCCGACAGAGAGTGGTAGATGGGGAAAGGATATGAGCACATTTTCTGCCACTGATAATTCATACACAGTGGATGGTATATGGGCAGCCTTGGGAGAGGGGCTAGCTGCCAGCCCCTCTACTCGTTTCCCGAGGGTTCAGTTTTTGATCAACATTGATTAGCCCAATGATAGCCTTTCTTACATTTCGGGCAGACTGTTTTTGGTCGAACATCTTTACTGGTGGAGGGCTTTGTTGCCCCCCCGCCAGGGGCTCGACATTGTGATTTAAAATGGCTGGGCTTCCCACATTAACAATTACCAGATGGCTTATTACCTCTGGTAAATGATGGCTGCAGCCATCATTTCGGAAGTGTATTGGTGTGTTCCCACCACCCTGCAGGCTTGTAGGAATTGGGCTAGAGTGGCATCTGGAGAATTAATCAAGGGAGTAAGCAAGGTTTTACAGTCTGCATTAGCGTTCTCATATGCCAATTTAAGAAGAATTTCCTGCCGAGCCGCCTCATTTGTAATTTGCCTTTGTAGGGCCGTTTGGAGGCATTCAATAAAATCGGCATAGGGTTCATTGGAATTTTGTAGAATTTTTGCAAAAGATTGTGCGGAGGTATGAGGGTCATCCAAGCGAGAGAGAGAAAGCAGAGCGGCTTGTGCAGAAAGGTTAAGAGCATTAATAGGGCTATTATATTGAGCTGTGGGAGCAGCAAAGGCACCCTCTCCTGCCAGTTCATTTGCGGTAAGGTTCGGATTTTGAGCTGCCAATAGGCGACAATGATGGAGAAACTCCAATTGCCATACAACAAATTGAGTCCCTGTTAGAGTCATATGAAAAAGGCTATGCCAATCAGCTGGGATCATTATATGGGCGTTAGCCATCATTCTAAATAATCCCATCGTAAATGGAGCCTGAATACCATACATTTGTACAGCTTGTTTGATATCGTTGATTGATTTAACAGGGATGGGTTCCAGTGTGGGACATTTTGTCCCTGCGCGTTCTGCGCATAAACTAATGGGAACGCCGATGAGCAGTCGGAGTGATCTAACTCACCAGTTCTAACTCCCGCAGCGATGGCGGCATGAACCGCGCCCATAGGAGGGGGTAAGGCAGGAGAGGAAGGCACAGAAGGGAGAGCAAGAGAAGAAGAAGAGGGATTGGGTGAGGGGGGGTCAGGAGAAGGGGGGGAGGTTTACTGACCTCATTTGCCTCCGGGGGGGGCAGTCGCTTTAAGAGACACAGGCGCCACAGCGGGGGGCAAGAGTTGTACAGCAGGATTCACATAGGGAGGGGGTCCAGAAAGGGGGCCAAGTAGGGGTTGCTCTAGAGAGGAGAGAGCCTCAAAAACCGCCCTCCAAGCAATTAATATAGATGAAGGGGCCTTAGGACTCACGTGAAGGTATTTTCCAATCTCCTTCCATACTGTAGTTTTGATACTGCCTTTAGCCGGATAAGAAGGGCGGTGTTGCCAAATGTATTCTAGGAGTACCTCAATAGAGGTTTTTGTGAGGGGGGCACGAAGGGAGCCCCCCTTTTTAAAGGTAAAAAAGTTTTGTTTGGTCAATTCTCTGATTTCCTGAATGTGAGCTGCCTGCTCCTTAGAGAATCTACCACCCATACTCACAAGGGATCCATTGTCGCCAGCGATTCAAGCGGATGGGGTGCACCAAGTCTATTCCAGACGATGAGAATGGGTATGCCAAAGACGTATCACTTTTGAGTGGATCACGTCGGGGTCACCAGTTGTGGTGGTCTCTCATGAAAAGAAGACACTACGCAAAGTTGTCTTGGGATGAGAGCGCAGAGCGAACTCCGAAACCCTCTTTTATTAGAAGCAATCATAGCAATTTTGTTAACGTCCTATCACAAACACATTACATCACACAACATGCACTGATCATTCGCATAAAGCATACAAGGCTGCAAAGTTTAAGTTTGCTACAGTTCTGGTTAGAAATGGCAACAATTTCTCTTTGCTCCTTGCTCCGTGTTCCAGCCAACCACCAGAAGGCTCCGTTGTCCTAGCACGTACACAAAGAACAAAGAATCATAGTTCCCACAGGGTTGAATCAGCTTCTTTCACTTGCAAATACAATTTCTCAAGGTAATTAACATGCTTGTTCTTGGAGAGGGAGGGAGGGAGGGAGGGGAGGGAGTCTATTTGCTTCACCCAAATGGATCCCTCCTCTTCTTGCGATTAGAGGGATTTATTGCATTCTCTTTTTACTATTCTGCTTCAAGTTTCTGCTTCTGCTTACATAATTCTTGTTACAGACAGTTTAACTCAACGTGAAAGATATTATCCAAATTAGATTTATTTCAGGCATTCTTCTCAGATATGATTCACATTATAAGAAGATTCTTCTGAAGGCATCAATAATCTGATTTTAGGCATGTCGGTAAAAAGAGAATGATTTCATCCTCACATTGAGAAATGTGCAGCCATCGGTTAAGTTGTAATTCAAGTACGCCTCACTAGCTTACACGTAATCAAGGCTGCCCCTCAGCCAATCAGAAGACTGACTCAGTGGTCAACCAGGGGTACAGATGTGACCACATGATAAAGAACTATATTTCCCAGCAGGCAATGCTTTAAGACATAGCACCTAATTTCTAAGATAAATACACACTCTAGCCAGCACAGTTCCCACTGCCACTGTGGGAGTTTTGGCAATTACAGTTGCTTTTTTATTTAGATAAGAAGTTTGCAGCAATGTCTTTCCAATCATTTTTATTTGTCCATTTTTGAAACTGTTGTTGTATTGTTAAATGATCTATTTCATCAATTAGTCTAGAATGTATATGTGAATATTCAGAGTATAAATTTTTTGCAGCTAAATTCACAACAGCAGCCATATTGAGAAAACGATTTAAACATCCTGCTGTGCTGCTCTTACAGCTTTCCCACATTCCAGAGGTTACAGAATTTCGAAACATGAATTTTGATTCACATTCCACGTATGCAAAGGATAATCATTAATAAACTATTTCTTCATGTATATATAAAGCTTGCCAAGGATACTTGACAATGCCAACACCACAAAATCTCATCAGATCCTGCCTCTGCCAAAATGGGAGGAGCAATTGCTTAATGGTGTCTTTGGGTAAATTTTTCTCCTGTTGAGAAACTTTTATTATGCAAGAAGCAAAGGAGAGAATACATACATTCATTTCCCCTACTGTAGACCGTTCATCTGCAGCCTTTTCAGGTTTGTTGCAATTTGTTGATATGAACATGTTTCTATATGCTTGGTGTTTATTGTGGCAGTGCGTCTGCAAAAAGGTGTAAATCGGCCAGTTAAGACTGGAAAATAGAGACCTGGTCATGTTTCCTTGTCTCCTTTAGTCTAAAGGATTAGGCTTATTTGGGTAGCACAATCTGTTTCTTAAAGCTTCTTTTTTTTTTGGTCTAAACTAAGGTTACAAAATAAATTTGAATGAAAGAGAAACGAAAAGAATTCTGGTTTCTTTTGTGTTAATTAATAATAGCAAATATGGCTGACAAAGAATAAAGTTTGAGATACTATCTTGGGATGACGAGGCACGGCTGCTTATTTTATTATGATTTCTTTGAAGACAAGCTAAATTAGCAATTTTAAGGGAAGCTTTCTGGAAATATTGTTGCTCAAGTAGTCCTCCCTTCTTCTCCATTATTTCTTTTGGCTTAGAAAGTTAACAAGGAAAAAAAGCTTTACCTTTAGTTCAGAACAACACCTGCATTGTTTTTCTTTCCCTTTTTCATTTTGATAATCCTATCCAAGACTAAAGGATCCTTCAAATTTGTTCTTGAGGAAATTGCTGCTCTTCTCTTCCACATGTGTGAACCAGTGTATTGTTTGTCACCCTTTCAATCATTGAAAAGTACTAGAGGAAGAAGAAGCTAAATTATGTGACGTAAAGTATATGTTAAAACCCCTTTTCAAACAACTTTTTGCCCACTTGAAGTGAGTCCTGATGCATTTCCATAAAATATCGATACTTTGTGTAAGAAATTAAAAAAGTAAAGCCCACTTGCCCTAAATGATGATTTTGGAGAAAAAGAAATTATTTTCTGGAAATATAGGTAAGACCTGGCAGCTTTTCAGTGATTAATTTTAATTAATCCATCAAGTAATTTGAAGTCTTTCTGACAGCTCCTTGTGCTACCCTTCTATGGCTTTTTGGGTGGGTGGGGACTTTCTGTATCTGCAACTTGAACCATATTTGATTTTATTTGTGTGTCCAATCACATTTGGCCAATAAAGAATTCTATTCTATTCTATTCTATTCTATTCTATTCTATTCTATTCTATTCTATTCTATTCTATTCTATTCTATTTATGGTTTCTTTACCACTGACTCTTCTCACCTTCCTAAGGAAGGGAGACCATCACTATTCTAAGGCAAATGGTTCCAGTTTAAGAACTTTACCATTTTATATTCAGCCCAAATCTCCTTTATTTAAATTTCTATGTCTGGTTTTTGTCCTGAAAAAGCAGGAAAAATAACAGATCTATCCCATTACATAGAACAGTCAGATATTTATACACTGCTATATATCTTCTCACTCTTGCAAAGGGAAGATAACTGCTACTTTCATTGTTTTTAGTTAAGGCTTCATTTTCCTACTAATTATCATCCTAGAGCAGGGGTGTCAAACTCAAGGCCCGCGGGCCGGATCCTTCCTGCAAGGTGGTTAGATCTGGCCTGCAGGGCTGTCCTGGGAATAGGAAAGGACTGGTCTGCAGCAGCCTGGCCCAGGCAAACCAGGAACCGATCTGCAATGTGACAGTGGCCATCCAAGCTGGTATGCAGCACTACTCTGGAGCCAGCAGGAGGCTTCCCCCACCACATGGGGCCTAGAGTCCCCAGGGATCATCTTGCCCCACAGGCTAACTAAATTCTGAGCGCTTCTCTTTAACCCAAGATGCCAGTGCTTGCACACTCGCCACCTCCTGGGCGCATGCCCAGGGGACAGGGCTGAGGTTGCAGGACATCTCTCACTGGCTCAAGGCAGCCACATAGGTCGGAACTAAGGCACAGGCATAGGAACCAATTCCGTCTGTGGCCCAGGTGGGCTTCTCCCTCACATGTGCCAGCCTTACCGTTTGAGGCAGGAACAAAGCCTTCAACTGAGCAAAGCCCTCACACCCACATCCAGCCCACCAGAGCTCACCACATTGGGGGGATGAATGAGACCCATTGTCTCAAGGAGTAGGTTGGGCGGGACTGGCTGGCTGGGGACAGGGGATCGTGGCTGCTCAGGTGGCTCCTGCCGCCACCACCAGCAGCTTGGGTGCCCGGCTCCACCTGAGCTGAAGAAAGTGGAGGCACAGCAGCAAGATTGCCCTCAAAGATTGCTCTGTTCCCAAGCACCCTATTTGCATGCAAATACCCCACTTGCATGCAGGCAAACTTCATAGGACAATGGGGTTTCTCATTCCTCATTCCTCCCCTGGCACAGCGAGCTGTGACAGGCTGGTCATGGGTATGAGGACTTTGCTCAATTGAAGGCTTTTTTCATGCCCTCACAGTAAGGCTGCACATGCGAAGGCCTCTTGCTCAGTGCAAACATCCTCCAGCAGCTGCGCTTGTAACACCCAAGTTCCATGTCCTTCCTTCTTTTCCTCCTCCTGCTCCTTCTACTATGTCTGCTTCTGCCTCCTCCCCTTCTTCCTGGTCCTGCTTCCTCTTCCTCCTGCTTCTACTTCTTCCTCCTCTTCTTCCCCACTCTCCTCCTCTCCCTCTTTCTCCTGGCATCCCAACTGGGCTTATGTTCCCTTTGTGCACCTCTCCAAGTTTGCAAGACAATCACTCAGCAACCCATCTTGCAACCAGAGGCTCCTCCAAAGCCTTGTTGGAGGGGGACACCCCAAGGTGTGTGTGTGTGTCTTTTTCTCAGAGTGCAAATAGAAACAGGGAGAAGCTACCTTTCACCTTAAGCACTGTGTTTCCAAGGGAATCTCTCTTTCGTTAGCACTTTTCAAGACAGCTGGGTGTTATGACTCCCCTTCGAAATTCAAACGAACAAAACAGAAAGCAGCCGTTTCACAATTAAATCAAACGGAAAGAAGTCTTACAAGATAACGGCTGGCAGAAACCACAGCATAAATCTTTACTCTGTCCGGCAAACCAGTCCTGGCAATAAATCTCCAGCCTCAGAGCTCTTTGCTGTAACGTCTTCACTCAAATAGTTATTTTGTTCCTGGCAAAATGTACCAGCCCAGCTGTGTCCTTTTATACTCATTGAGGCAACGTGCTAATTTACTGACTTGCTCTTCTCATTTGCTCCAGCTGATTTTGCCTTTTCAACCGTCTTCTATTTTTTACATTTAACCACAAATTTTCCAAGTTCTCATCTCCACTAGAAGACTCTCTCAAAACTTCCCTGTCAGCCATTCCCGGCTGTTGATCAGATAAGGAACCAGAGGAGGTCAAAGGTCCTGACAATTCTAATACATCAGGTCTGTCGTCCTTTGTCACGTCCATCTCCTCATCCTGGTTATCAGTCCAATCAGTAAGCCAGGCCGGCTCATATTGTTCTGCCATGACCTCTTCACTTGAACTCATATCAATCACAGGAGCTGAATCCAAGCCCGGAGCCACAACAGCTGGGCTTCATTGCACTTCAACTGGAGTTTTTTGCTTTTGTTTTCATGCTGGGGATGACTCATGTGTTTTAACAGAATCCTGATTGCTTTTCGTGGTTTGGTTTGATGTGTGTGTTTGTGTGTGTATGTCTGTGTGAGCTTAAAGGACTTCCACTGCTTGGTCCAATCCTTTGCAAGCTGAGGTGACTGCATGCTTCAAGTTTGTTTGCAAAGAGGCGTTTTGCTATGCCGAGTTGGTTTGGTCTCTCTTGGTTTTTTTAATTGTTTTCTCAGCATTTCCTGCCAGCCTGCCAGAGCTTGCTGCACCAGGGGAAGAATGAGACCCCGTTGTCCTGTGGAGCCTGCCTGCGTGCAAGTGAATGGGGTGCTTGGAAATGGAGCGATCTTTGAGGGCAATCCTGCTGCTGAGGCTACGCTTTCTTTAGATGGGCACTCAGGCTGCTGATGACAGTGGCAGAAGCCACTTGAGCAGCCATGATTCCCCCCAGCCATCCAGCCCCACCTGACCTACTGGCTGGCTCAAACCCTCACTGCTCTTCCCTCCTCCTCCCTGCTCAAGTGGCAGTGGGTTCCATGGGACAAGGGGTATCATTCCTCCCACAACATGGCGAGCTCTGGTGGGTTGGATGTGGGTGCAGGGGCTTCGCTCAATTAAAGGCTTTGTTCCTGCTCTCAAATGGTAAGGCCGACACATGCGAGCGAACAGCCCACCTGGGCCACAGACGGCATTGGTTCCTGCACTCAGGCCTTCGATCTAACCTGCATGGCTGCCCTGGAGCCAGTGAGAGACAGTACTGGTGTCTTGGCCCTGCCCCTTGGGCATGCGCCCAGGAGGCAGCAAGTTCACAAATGCTGGCATTCAGAACTTAGCGCTCAGAACTTAGGCTACAGCGCAAAACGGTCCGCAGGGATGCCAGGCCCCATGCACGCTCACCACCTCCTGGGTGCAAGGGGGTGGAGTGGTGGCGGCCTCCTGCTGGCTCCAGGGTGGCACAGCAGATCTAAAGCTGGCCCAGAACCAGCCCAGATGGCCATCGCTATATTGCAGATCAGTGCCCGGTCAGCCTGGGCAAGGCCAGTCCTTTGCTATTTCCAAGGCTGCCCCGCAGGCCAGATCTAACCACCTTATGGGCCAGATCTGGGCCATGGACTTTGAGTTTGATACCCCTGGTTTAGAGAGAATGATTTTTGGAATGATGGTGTTGAATGCAGAGCTGAAGTCTATAAATAAGTCATTGGTAATTCAAGATGATGTAAGATATAATGGAGTGTCATATTTAATGCATCATCTGCCGATCTATTTGCATGGTAGGCAAACTGCAAGGGATTATGGCAGCAGATCCATTATGGCTTTCAGGTGGGCCAGCACTAACCTTTCGAAGGTTTTCATAAATACAGATATTAAAGCAACTGGACTGTAGTCATTGAGTTCTTTATTGGAGGGTTTCTTGGGCACCGGAATGATAGTAGAGCATTTGAAGCAAGAAGGGACATAACACATCTCTAGTAATTTATTAAAGATCGGGGTGAACATGGGAGCCAGTTGATCAGGACAGACTTTCAAGCAAGAGAGAGCTATTCTGTTTTGGCCTGGTGCTTTTCCAGGCTTTTGTCTGTGAAATACACTTGCACATCTTTTTCAATGTTTAATTTTGAAAGTCCAATGTTCAAGCTTATGGCAATCCTTTTGAATTGCAATTATTTTGTTGGAAGATGTTAACCAATCCCTTAGATAGTTGTTACCTGCATTCTTTCCATTCCAGTCTATAGGCCATTTACAAAGATACTACGGGTCTGGGTCAAGAATGGAAGGACTTTCATCCAGAATGATGGAAAACCTTTTATGAGCTGTCTTTGTATGCAGTTACTTAACCACATGCAGACCCTCCAAGGCCACAATATTGCCAGGACACTATGAGAGACATTGCAAAAGTCTTTATTTTTACTGAGATCAGTGTAACCTACATCTATGGCCTTGCCTACTAAATTAGTTTCTGCCTCTTAAATATATGAAGTTAGCTTGCTATTGTTTGTTTTTGGCCAGTATGGTCATTCTTTATAAATTTCTTTCCTATGTGCTTGCAGACATGCTGCTTGATACTGCTATTATCTTTCCCAATGCAGATACTAGTTTTCCATGTCCACGCTGCTCCCTTTTTGAATATTGGGATTAAGTTGCCCTTCCTCAGTTTTCTAAAACCTCATCCATTTTTAAGTCTTACACTCAGTAGTTCTGGGAATAGTTCAATAAACTCAGCATCCAGCTTCTTAGATGGTCATGTGGAGGGGACATCCATTCATGATCTTCAATCACTATGGAGATGCTTGTGGGAGGCCTGACCATGATTTAATTTAAGGAAGTGCTAATCATTCTGAAACCATTGGAGGAATTGAGAGTCTTGGAAGGACAATGGGCTGGGAGATATGCAGATGAAATTGAGGTTGGCAGCCATCTAAAGAAGTGATAGAAAATGGCAACTATTGGTTGAATTAATTATCCTTTCCCTGTTATTTCCAAAGATATTGGATTATTTATTTTTTCAGGTGTTATTATTATAAAATACATAGAAATAAATAAATTGGTCCTAACACATCTGCTTTTGGGAAACAGAAGATGGGAAAGAAAAGAGTGGCAATTATTGGAGCTGGTTCCAGTGGACTCTGTAATATCAAATGCTGCTTGGAAGAAGGTCTGGAGCCTGTATGCTTTGAAAGCAGTGATGATATTGGGGGACTCTGGAGGTTCAAGGTAAGTGCAAATGCTCCATAACATTGAAGCTTTACTTCCAAGGAATTGTTGTCAATTCTCTCAACCTTCAGCACTGTTTCATGTGGACACTTGGTCTACATTTATCATACTGTAGTTAGAAATATGAAAAATATATTTTTACCTCAAAAGCATTCTGAAGATCATAGAAATATGCGTAAGTCAGAATGAAGAGAAGGAAAAGTTGAAGCTAATTTTGTCTAAATTTACAGCTTTCCATGAAAACCATTCTGGAGTGCAGCTTACAGAATAGGCAGATGATTTTCTGTGCATAAGAGGGCTGGATACATAGGGCATGATGAATTTAGGTTTAGAGCTGCATATGTACCTCTTTCTGTGCTCTTATATTGATATTGAAACTTGGTACTTTTATTTGAGGATCTTAAACCTTAGAATCATCTCAGACACAGGAAATGAGCAATAACAAAAACTAAATTTTTATTTGTTGCAGGACAATCCTGAGGAAGACCGAGCTAGTATTTACAAATCTGTGATCATCAACACCTCCAAAGAGATGATGTGCTTCAGTGACTTCCCCATCCCAGATGATTTTCCCAACTACATGCACAATTCAAAGATAATGGACTATTTCCGGATGTATGCAAAACACTTTGACCTTCTGAAATATATTCACTTCAAGGTAAGATGAATATGACCCTTTTGTCTGAAGCATTGCAGAGGCACATATATTCTTTTCACCTTCAAAATGGGAGCGGGGGAGGACAGGATCTAGGTGAATACTAGGCAGTTTAGTGTTGACAGTGGGCAAAACTCTGGAACAGATTATTTGTGAGCATTTTTTTAAAAATGCATTGCTGAGCAAGAGAGTAAATCATGCCAAATCTTATCTACTTTTCTCATAGTGACCAACTACAAATGCATTAACAAAGCATTGTGTCCTGATTAAGAGTCATTTGGGTGCCTATTTTACTTTGATCAGATTGCACCTACAATATACCATATGTTTCTTGGGCATTGCATTGAAGGAAGGACATTGACAAACTGGAAGAAAAATGATAACAGTCCTGAAAGAAAAAAACCCTATGAGGAAGGATTGGAAGTGTTAGGTATGTGTCACCTAGAGATGGTTGAGGAGAAATGGTAGCTCTGTTCCAATATATGAAAGATGTGTAGAAAACAGAATAGAATTGTGCAAAGCTACACCAGAAAACAAGATGCAGTAGTATACTGTAAATGGCAAAGAAGCAGATTTTAGATGGACATCAGGAAAATTTTTCTAATGGCAATATATGTTCAACAAAAAAATAGCTTTGGAACCTGATGGGTTCTTCTTTACTGGAGGTGTTTTAATGGGAGATGTGGTAGCATGGTCAGGGGGTTGAACTACATTAAGGAGACTTTCTCCACTTATATTCTAGATTTGATGAGTTTGCCTAATTTTCAAGTTAACTATACCCATCTTCTTTTGAGAGCAACAACCTATCCCTGATGACTAAAATTCCTGTATCTAGCAAGTTACACTAAAAGAGTTTAATGGATTGGTTACTTGTAACATACCTATGTTTTAGAGCAGGGGGCTGCAACCTTGGCAACTTCAAGACTTGTGGACTTCAGTTCTGGGAGAGAGACTGTGAGAGTTGAAGTCCACTTATAGGTGCCAAGGTTGGAGACCCCTGTTTTAGAGACTGTTATGCTTATCCTTATTCTGACAACATCTTAAATGAGATTACATCCTAGTACAGGTAGTCTTTGATTTATAACCATTATTTAATGACTGTTCAAAGGTACAATAGCACTGAAAAAAGTGACGTACAATCGTCACAGAATCCTCATGATCAAAATCCAGGCAGTATCCCAAGGTCATCATTTGTGACCTTCCCAACTGGCTTCCAACAGACCAAGTCAAAGAGGAAGCTGGATTCTCTTAACAACTGCTTGATTCATTTAACAACCATGGAAAAAAAGTCATAAAATCAGGTATAACTCACTTAACAGCTGCCTTGCTAGCAATGGAAATTCTGATCCCAATTGTGATCATAAGTTGAAAACTACCTGAAATTAACATGCTTGGTGAGAACACATTCTATGTTAAAATATGGATGGGATTTTAGTGTTTTAGGAACTGATTTTAATCCTTCCACTTGTATAGTTGCAGAAATATCATAAAATCATTGATTTGTAAATAAATATTGTAGTCAACTAGTCCAGTCCATTACTCCATTCAGGATCCAATAGAGAAGTATATTTTAAATGTTTTGCTCTCCAAACTCCTTCCCATATTTAAACATTATTGAAGAGCCCAAAATAACTTTTGTTTGTATGGGTTATATTTATCATTTTTACTGTATTGAAAGGAGAAATAATGCATTTGTAGAATATTTATTGATTGAATAAATAAAGTCAGGAAGTTCTGCTTAATTTTTAGACTTGAACCACTTTCATATAATTTTTTAAACCACTGATACTTGTCCTACCTTAGGATTAGGCATAGTTTTGATTCTAAATGTCTTCAGATTTCTCTGCCAGCCATTGTAGGAAGTTAGAGTGGTCACATACACTGCTCCTGAGTAGGGGTGGGATTCAATTTTTTTAACAACTGGTTCTGTGGGTGTGGCTTAGTTGGTGGGCATGGCTTGGTGGTCATGTGACTGGGTGGGTGTGGCTTGGTGGTCATGTTATTGGCTGGGCATAGCCAACTCAACATCACTCACATCGTGGCACACATCTCCTCACCTGGCCTCTTATGACTTTGGGGATGCTGCAACAGTCGTAAGAGTGAAAAATGGTCATAAGTCACTTTTTTCAGTGCCATTGTAACTTTGAATGGTCACTCCACACAAGCAAAGTACCAGCAAAAGAGGGGAAAAAAACTCCAGAGACGTTCCTGAAAGTCTAGTCCTGCCAAGAATGTAATAAGGGTTAACGGAGAGGCAGTTTCTGTAAGCAACACCAGAATGTTTCCTTCCTGCCTTCCTTACAGGATTAGGCCAGTAATTTCTTCTAACAACCGGTTCTTCAAACTGCTTAGAATGTTAATAACCGGTTCTAGCGAATAGGTGCGAACCTGTAGAATCCCACCCCTGCTCCTGAGCACAAGCAACATATGGGGTTCCCTCCCATGTGTAACCTGCTTGCTTGCTTAGCCAAGGTGAGTGGAAAATTCCAATCAAATTTGCTTCTAAAGCACACCCACACTTTCATTTAAATCTTATGCAAGAGATCCAGAAGTTTACTAGAGATTATCTTTCTTAATCTTTTGTTCATTTATTAAGGTATGTAATATTAAACCAATACATGCAGAGACCTGTTTTTCAGGTGTGGTGAAAGAGTTTTGTGCAGTGTCATTTCCACACTGCAGGATATGTTTCCATCAGAAATATGGTACTCCACACTACTTGGATTTTAGGACAAAAATGTTAAGACCCAGCTTTCTAACCCTTTAACCTATTTATTTAGCAAACTCCTCTGAAATTTAATCTTGGGGTTTAATTTTTATTGGAAAGTGATTAGAAAGTAATCCCCAGGCCCTTCCCTAATAAATCCTATTATTTTTATGTATTTATTTATTTTATTCATTTTGTCAAACACAATATAATAGAAATAAGAATAAACATAAGTTTAAAACATGACTAGGAACTAATAATTGGAGACAATAGGACAAGGGTGGTAGGCATGATTGTTCCCTTATGCATGCCCTTTACAGACCTCTTAGGAATGTGGTGAGGTCAATAGAGGTTAGTTATTATGTATACAGTTTTCCAGAGGGAGAAAGATTTTCTGAGCAAATAAATAACTATGCGTCGATTTATTCTTTTCCTGACTTCTGCTTTCAGACTAAAGTCTGCAGCGTAACAAAATGCTCAGACTTCTCTACCAGTGGCCAATGGGATGTTACCACAGAATCAGATGGGAAGCAGGAATCATCAATTTTTGATGCAGTTTTGGTCTGCACTGGCCACCACACCAGTGCATATCTGCCCCTGGACTCCTTCCCAGGTATGATTTGAAGTTTTTAAGAGACTGACATTCCTTTTTGAAATACAGAGTTGCACCAAATGAGACAAAAGATCAGCCCTCGTCTCCAGGGAGGCCCAAATACCCACAAGTATTCCATCTTGCTAGGTTTGACTAAGAGCTATTTCACACATCTAGTCCTCAACATTCTCCAGTCATTAGGATAGAACATCCACAGTATCACTCAAATGGAGGAACAGAACTTAACAGAATATCAGAGTTGGAAGGGACCTTATAGGTCATCTAGTCCAAAACCTTGCCCAAGCAGGAGACCCTACACCATTTCTGATAGATTGGGGGGAGGGGTTGGACTAGATGACCTACAAGGTCTCTTCCAACTCTGTTAATCTATATATCTATGATAGATATATAATCTATGATAGATATATGATCTATGATAGATAGATAGATAGATAGATAGATAGATAGATAGATAGATAGATAGACATACATACATACATACATACATACATACATACATACATACATACAAGATGGAAGTATCTTCTTGAAAGTTTCCAGTGATTAAGCTCCCAGAACTTCTGAAGGCAAGCTGTTCCATTGGTTGATTGCTCTCAATGTCAGAAAATTTCTCCTTATTTCTAGGCTGAATCACTCCTTGATCAGTTTTCATCCTTTATTCCTTGTCTGGCCTTCAGGTGCCTTGGAAAAATAGGTTGACCCCCTCTCCTCTCTGTGACAGCCCCTCAAATATTGGAACACTGCTGTCACGTCATCCCTGGTCCTTCTCTTCACTAGACTAGCCATACTCAGTTGCTCTAACCATTTTTCATATGTTTAGCTTCCAGTCCCCTAATCATTTTTGTTGCTCTTCTCTGTATTTTTCTAGAGTCTAAACATCTTTTTTATAACGTGGTAACCAAAACTGGATGCAGTATTCTAGGTGTGGTCTTACTAAGGCTTTATAGAGTGGTATTAGTACCTCATATGATCTTGATTGAATCCTCTGTTAATACAACTTAGGATTGCATTGGCTTTTTTGGCTGCCACTGCACAGTGTTGACTCATATTTAATTGGTTGTCCATTAAGACTCCAAGATCCCTGGTTTCTCCTGATCTATATGTGTACTTTTGGATTTTCTTGCCTAAGACTTTACTTTTCTCTGCATTAAATTTCATTTTATAAGTTGGGTCCCAGTGTTCAAATCTGTCAAGATCCATCCGGATCTTGAGCCTATCATCTAGGGCAGGGGTGTCAAACTCTCAGCCTGTGGTCCGATGTGTCACATGCTGGCCCTGCCCCCGCCTTGTTTAGTGAAGGGGGAAAAAGTCCCAATACGTCACGTGACACTGCTGTGACAACGTGAGTTTGACAGCCCAGATCTAGGGTGTTGGCTATTTCTGCCAGATGTAGATGTAGATGTAGTACCAATAAGGACTACTTGTTGAGTATGGTTTGTCAGCCAGTTAGAAATCCATCTGATGGTGATACCTTTTTCTAGCTTATCAAGAAGTAGGTTGTAGTTTACTTTGTCAAATGCCTTGCTAAAGCCTAAGTGTATTATGTCCACAGCATTTCACTGATCTAGTAATGTAGTCACTATGTCAAAGAATGAAATAGGATTGGTTTGCATGATCTTTTTTAAATAAACCCATGCTGACTTTTAGTTATTACTTTACTCGTTTCTAGGTGTTCGCAGATCTGGTTTTTTTTTATTATCTTTTCCAGTATCTTCCTAGATATTGATGTTTGGCTGATTGGGCTATAGTTTCTGTTCCAGTCCCCCATGTGCACACAAATGAGGAGTTTAAGGACTTTATTGAGGCTATACAGACTTTATTGAGGCTATACAGACTAATACAGGGTTATTCCCCAGGTTTCTACTTGCATCAAATGCAAAGTTCTATTGAGCCTGATATTGCACAGTGTAGGCACCATTCAATAAGTCCAAGAGCAAAGGCACAACTCCACAAAGACAAAGTCTGAAATCCAGGCACAGTCCAAAGTCCACACATGGTAATTAAGCCAAGGTTCAAGTTCAGAATCCAATGAGCAAATTCAAGGTTCAAATACATGGCCAAAGGAGAAGAAAGAACAGAATCCTGAGGTATTCCACAAAGTAGGGGATGTGATTTGGATTTCTCGTTCTCTGTCATCACTGACTGGCACTGGCACTGAAGAAAGGAGGAGAACCAGCACTATACAACGCCACTTACCTTTAATTCCTAGAACTGGAAAGATACTATGATAAATAGTACCAAATCCCACTGAGAAGTTAGGAAGAGCCAGGATGGATGCACTACCTCCACCCAGAAGAAGTTTTGATATATATATATATGAGCATGATCAATGTGATCTGAGTTCCAAATCCTGTTCCGAACCCAGACTACAAGGGGTCTAGATAATCTGCCTCATCCACTGTTCTCTAAAGCTGCCATTGACCACTCTCTCCACCACCTTACCTAGAAAGGGGAGATTGGAAACCAGGCTTTAGTTGTCTAATCTAGCCGAGCCAAACAATGGTGTCAGAACTGCCATCATACACTGAACTGTGCATTTGCTAGCTGTCAGTCTGCCATGGACATGAGAGGAAGAAGCCAGGTTGGAGGGAGGTAATTACTCATTGTGCCTTCCAGAAACAGCACGGGGCAAAGCAGAGAGCTAGAGCCTGAGAGCAGTGCAGACAGCAATCGGGAAAGAGACAGTGGAGATGAGTGGAGGGCTAAGTGAGCAGACCAGACAGCGGAGCTGACCAGAGCAGGGATGAGGTCGAAAAGACTCAAGCACCAAAAGACAGAACGGACCTGGCAGAGAAAATGACAAGAGGCCAGAGCAGCGAATGACAGAAGTGAAGGCAACAAATTAAGCCAGAGGTCCCAATAGGCAGGGAGGGAAGACCCCAGTAGATAATAAAAATAAATACAGGACAGAAAATAAAAGATAAATAAATGGGCAAATAATAAGGACAAAAGTGGAAAATTAGAAATCAAGGAAGAACAGGATTAATAAAGATCAATCAAATAAATAAGGCAAATCTTAAGATAGGGAGGAACTGGAGCTTAAAAACTTTTTTAAAAATATAGGAAAGAAAGGGATAAATAAAACTAACATAATAGTAAGCAAGTAAAATAAATAACAAGGTATAAAAAAAAGCAGAAAAAGGCAGAAAAAAGGATAGGAAAAAAACCAGATACAAAACTTTTGACTCTTAAAAGAACCAGCAAAAAGAAACAAACTCATGGAACAGGTGACCGATACTATTATGGTATGCAATATATGTTCCATGCATGTGCTTATGCCCAAAGAACATCCAAATTATACATATATTAAATGTAAGCTATGTGAACTACTAGAGGAAAAAGTAAGGGATCTAGAGGCAGCTCCAAATCCAACCTATGCAAAAAGGCTATTCTCAAATTGAACCAAATAATAACCAAACAAATAATTCCCAGAGGATTTGACCCTGCTGACAAACCCCTGGAGGAAGACAAGTGGAAGTATGTCACAAATTGAAGGAAACACAATAATCAAAGAAAAAAGCGGCACACAACTAACAAACTCCTACTGCCTAATCTCACCCAATCAGAAGTGGTCCCATTAAAACAGGGCATGTGCTCTCAGGACACTTCCCTGAGGCCCACTAGGCCAAAAACAGGGTGTGGTGTGATGCTTCAAAGGAAAAAAGAAAGAGAAAGAAAGAAAGAGGGAGGAAGGGGAGAAAGAAAGGGAGGGAAGGGAGAAAGAAAGAAAAAAAGAAAAAAGGGAGGGAGGGGGAGAAGGAGAGGAAGGAAGGACCTTGCCACAAGCTTCAGAGAATGCTTTGAAACAGCACAACAATGCAGAGTTGGAAGGTACCTGGAGGTTATCTAGTCTGACCCCCTGCTCCAGAAAGTGAGTTTGTTTTTTTTAACCCCCCAGTCACATGACCACATACCCACTCCCACCCAGTCATAGCCACGCCCACAGAAGCGATAGTAAAAAAAATTGAATCCCCCACTGGTCACCGCACTAAAAAAGATGTTGAGACTCTGGAAAAAGTGCAGAGAAGAACAACCAGGATGATTAGGGGACTGGAGAGTAAAACATATGAAGAACGGTTACTGGAACTGGGCGTGGCTAGTCTACTGAAGAGAAGAACCAGGGGAGACATGATAGCAATGTTCCAATATTTGAGGAGCTGCCAGAGAAAGGAAGGGATCAAGCTATTTTCCAAGGCACCTGAAGGCCAGACAAGGAATAATGGATGGAAACTGAACAAGGAGAGATTTAAGTTGGAAATAAGGAGAAATTTTCTGACAGTGAGAACAATCAGCCTACGGAACAGCTTGTGTTTTTCCTTGGAAAGGCAAGTACCCCCATAGATATGAGGCAAAAAGAGGAATAGGGCAAGCTTTTCATTGATCAATTTGTATTGAACTTACCATCTTCACCCTAACTGAAAGAAAACAGGCACACAACAGCAATTTGAATAATTTTACTCTTGGCTTACAGGGATTACCACTTTCAAGGGTCACTATTTACACAGTCGTGATTACAAGAGTCCCGATGCATTTACAGGAAAAAGAGTCATTGTGATTGGTATTGGGAACTCAGGAGTGGACCTTGCTGTGGAGATAAGCCACACAGCACAACAGGTTTGTAACTACATGGTTTCTTTTATATTAATGAAGGGCAAGATATTAGGAAAGTGTTCTGAAAATTATGAATGTCCACTGACCTTGTGAACTCCAAAATTCTGATGCTATCAAACCTTTTACATGCAAGAAGTCTTTTTGAAAATATCCATAGGATATCGTAGAATGTGATAAAAGTGGCGGAACAGGTGTTTTGAAACAAAGGATTACTTGGCTAAAGGATTGTCTGTGGTACAGCTGTGGCAAGCTTCCTCTTCCTCATCTCCAGAGAATTTTTTCCCCAAAGCTTTTCCAAAACTTTTGATCATGTACAGTATGTGTATAGCTTAGAAAAGAAAGTGAAATGGAAGCACCTATTTAGTTAATTCACCCAGTAAGGAGAATGGTTTTATTATTGAAACAGGTACGGGAAATTCTTTTTTAGGTTTGAGAGAAATGTGAGAGATTGATTGGCAAGTGTTGCAGTGATATGGAGGATCTCTACTAGCCTCTATGCAGAAATTATATTTGAAGGTTTTGCACTGATGGTATTAAACGTTCTAGGAATTGCACAAATATAATTATCCAGCCAGAAGTTGGAAGAGTTATAAATAGAAAGGGACATTCCTCCATTTTGATGGACAAGTGAAAAAGAATTTTTGATAAATGTTATGATTAAAGAAATAATTAAATTATTACATATAATTCAATGAAGAGTCTATGGGCTAAACAGTCAAAAAATACTACATTGCTTTTGGCTTTTCAGCACTGGAAAAATCTAGCATATTTATATATTGAAATTGACATAGAAAAATTTGATCGGTACCTTTGTATTAGATAAAATGTATATGTTGAAGAAACACTATTGAAACTTTAATATTATCTTTAAAAACAGATTTAACCATGCCTGCCAGTCCATAGACCACAGTGGCTTTATAGTTTGTATTCCCTAGGTCTGGAACATCATTTTGAAATCCAGACTGACCATGAGACTTTGGAACACTAAAATTTTCTCATAAGTTCAAACACTACTGTACCAGCTCAATTGGGCACAATTCTGTTTTTGTTTAAACATTCTTACTTTCTCAGGTCCAATAATTTTTAAAAAATTATCCTTTATCAGCCAGAGTATTTATTGATTTATGGTTCCCCAATTTCTAATGTGTACTTGGAAAAGTTTGTTCCCAAGCACCTGGCTGACCCTAGAGATAGAAAGGAAACTAGTTTTCCAAGTGAACAAGCTATATAATCCAAAATGACACCTATATAAAGATTCAGTTACAGTAAATGATCTACCTTTGTTTTTTCTTTGCCTTCTACCTGTCTTTTCTTGAGAATGAAGAAACTTTACTACGTGCCATTCCAATGGTAGTTGAACTTTTCTCTCTGGTAGTGTTCCCTGTTATTTCATGGCCTCGTGATCACTCTCCATGATGCAGATTCAGCAGATGCTGAATCAAACACTGATGCTCTATCAAATCACCCCTCAGCCAGGCCCAATTCATTTTTTTGGCCAAGGAGTAGGGAAGATCCACTTTCCTGCCTAAGAATTCTATACCCTGCTAAGCATCTTGTGAATAAATGGCAAGGCACTGGTTTTGCATGCACCTGGTTCTTCGTTATTGGCAACTATTGAGCAAGGAAACTTCTGGACAAGAAGAAGATTTAAACCATGAAGGGACTGCCTTCTGTTGCTGGAAGTTTTGTACTTCATTTATTCTTACACCAGATTGCTGATACTTTTTTTTAAACCATAGTATGTTCTTGACCAAGTTTTTGGGTCTTTCCTTGGCACTTTTGTAGGTGTTGTGTGTTTTCTGATGACAGAGTAACTGAATTGTCTTCTCTTAGCCTCCAGTAAGCATATGCATATGGCACATATTCGTGCTCTTTGTTCTACTTCTCACTACCTCTGCTGTCATCTCTCCTGTCTGCCTAGACTTGGCTTCTTGATGCATTCACAAGCCTCACTGAAAATGCACCACTCCAACTGCTTGTACTTGCTTCCTCACTTTTGCATCTGTTACCAAACTCCTACCAGGTTCCCTCCCTAGCATCTCTGCAAGCCTTCCACGCAATCTCTCACATCCTACCTGTATTTTGTTACTAACAGTATGGGTTTTTATACACACACACACGCATGTTGCCATGGGACAACATGCTGTGGGACAAGAGTTACTGTCTTGAAAGGTAACCTTTGCACAGGAATATTCAGATCTAGCCTAACGTCAGCCCTCCCCAAGTCAGATCTTCAGGAGAGAAAGACCCTCAACTCCATTTGGTTGAAGGGATTGGTTCTTTTACTAATGTTAAGTGTGTGCAGTAAAACTAAGGCTAGATCTGAATATTCCCACACAATAGTTACATTTTCCCTTTTTTTATGGTCCTCCCCCCTTTGACCAGTCCATCAGTTGCCAATGGCAGGCCATTTAGATGTTTTTGGAACCACTTGGTTGTTTGGTGCCACTCGATGCAGTTTTGCATTCTGTTCCCATGTCAGCTATTGTTGGTGGTTGGTTTAATCTGGCCTCGCATCTCTGGTTTTTATCAAGGATGTCTCCCCTTCCCCCTTTGCATTTTATGGCAGGATGCCAGCAAAGCATAGAAGGTGAGGATAACAGATCTGACATTTACATAATATTGAACAAATGGTGAAATAGAATCATTAAAGAAAGGATACAAAAGGAGGGCAGAATGAAATATGAATAATAAATATTAAAATAATTGTTTAATTATTTTAAATAATATAAAACTGTTGAATTGTGCTGCGGCGAGTTGTTCTGTGGTGAATTGTCAGCAGCTACATGTCCCATGGCAAGTTGGGCACAGTGAGCTGGCCATGGCAAGTTAGCCATGGTGAATTGGCAGCAGTGAGTTGACCTCAGCATGTTGGCCATGACAAATTGTCCTATTCCGGTACTGAAAATGCACCCAGATTCCCATCGGATATCCTAGGCTTGGAATGGCCTCTTTCCCTCTCCACTTCTTCTTTAAACTCCCCCACCCCCACCCCATTTTGGTTCAGTGGAAGAAAAAATTGATGTGGACTTTTAGTGTATGTGATGTAAAACCAGAATAGTTGATTCACTGGAAAATCTACCAAGATACTGAATGTAAGGGGGAAAAGCAGGAAATATAAATGCAGATGTGCATTTCAGTGTGGAATGTGTAGCTGATGTGGCAGTAATCAGACATAACAAGCAAAGTGACAGGAAAACAGTAAAAGTAACCCAAATTTGCATTATCTTCAATTAGATCATCTTTGTATTCTTGATTAGATATTGTAACACTGAAAATAATACAGAAAAAGTATTGGAAATCTTCTCTACACAATTTATTCAGGATCAAAGAATAATGAGATAATTTACAGGTTCACTTCACTTTTCCATCACTGTTTACTTTATGTACATTGGCATCTAGGAGATACTTTAATAATGATTAGCAAAAAAAAAATACTACTAAGACAAAAATGTTACTGGATTTGTTAGTTTAAGATACTGTCTTTCTGTATGTTGTCCAGGTTTTCCTCAGCACTCGCCGAGGAGCATGGATATTAGGCCGCGTTGCTGATAAAGGCTATCCACTTGACACTATATTAAGTACTCGAGCTCATTTATTCCTGAAACAAATTTTTCCCTTGTCCATGATCGATCAGTTGATACAGCACAAATTAAATAACAGATTCGATCATTCTCATTATGGCTTGAAACCTAAACACAGGTATTTACAATAATATGCTGCTTTGCTTTCTTACTTTAAAAAAATGTATCTCACATTTCTTGCAACACATAGCTCAGGATACTGTACATTGATGACAACTAAATACTGACCGGTCCATTATTTACCCCTAGATAAGTGGGGTGGCTACAATATCATAAAATTATTGGATACTAACTACCTCTTCTGTTTAAACAGGATAAGTTAGAACTGAGAATCAGTTTTCTTTCTTCCTTACCAATTCTGAGGTTAGCTTTTTCTGAGGCCAGGAATCTCCAACTGGGTATGATGCTCAGCAGCTATGGACAGAGAATGGATGAGGACCAGCTGGCTTCTTAGAAGTTTCAGCTCTCCATTATTTATTAAAGGGCCTATTTGCTCAATACTTTCATGAACTCTCAATAACTCATGTTCTCTGTGGTGGTGTAAAGAGTAAAGAAATATTGCTTAAGCCCAGACTAGGGGGGAAGGTTAAAAAATATATCAGGCAGCATTTCATCTAATATATTAAAGAGAGTGTTTGGTGTAGTGGTTAAGGCATCAGGTTAGAAATTGGGAGTCCATGAATTCTAGTCCATCTTAGACTAAATGCAATTGGGCAACCTAGGACCAGTTACTTTCTTCTCCTGCATAGGAAGGAGGTGATGCCAAAACATTTTTGAAAAAAAAAATCTTGCCAAGAAAAATGCAGGGACTTGTTCAGGGAGTCTCCATGGAGTAGACATGATTGAATGGAAGGAAAAAATGTAAAAGAGAGAGGAGGGGAAATATTTTTATAAAGGTAGATTTAGGCTACATGGAAAAAAATATTTGGTCTGGTGTACCTTGTAGGGCTGACAAGTACTACTATCAGTTTGTCTAATCCATCATCAGACCATCAGCTACCTACAATTCTGGACTGGACTGCAAACCTCTGATAGTCTAGGAGCCCTGAACTCTTGTTTGCCCTGAAATAACTGGATCCTAATGTTGGATGAAATATCTGATAAAAAACCATGTTTTGTGAATCCAAAGTCTGAAGTAGAACTTCAAATACAGCTTTCTCATCCCTTGCAATTATCTGAAGCACCAAGATGAAACCAATTCCCTTTTTGTGCACCTCAGAATTATTCGCTTCCTGCTGTCAAGGTGCAGTGGAAAGCCAGCAATTAAAAATAATGTTACTGAAGAAATAGAAATCTTAGATAGGTTGGAGTGGGGAGGATGGATAATATATGACTGAGGGAGTGTCCCTCCAGCTCTCAAGACATCAGTAAGTAATCTGTGTGGTCCTTGAAGCCAAAACATAGCATTTTCCTTATCTAGAATTTAATTCACAGCTACTAAAATAACTAGTAATAATTTTAAATCTTGTTTCCTGATTGAAAAATTGGATGCTGCTTTTCAGAGTACCAGTCCTGGAAGCTTTAAAGAGATTGTTTTAATAACGTGTTCATTTTAGTGCTCACTGATTCCAGGACTATGACTTTATACAAATGGATGTTTAAAGTATTTATTTAAATAGCCACCTATCTTAGACAGTAATCCTACATGACTCATCCGAAAATCAATAAATCAATTAAAGCATTTCAAACTCTCCTCACCATGGTGCCATGATATCCCATCTTAATGACAATATGAAAATTTTATCAATGGCACAGAATCTTTTGACAATCAGCCAGGGTAGCATGTAAAGTGGCATATAATCTCTCCCAGATTATTCTGAAAACAGTGCTAGCAATTCAATTTACTGAGTAGCTGCACACTCATATAGTGGGTGAAATCTCATCCAGTCTCCAGTCATCGCATCAAAGTCCTAAATATTCTAGCAGTACCTTGCCCTTTTATGATCTTTATATTTTACTTTAGTCTGTGAACCATTGTATGTCCCCTTGCAGATTTTTCTTCTTTTGCTCTCTCCTCTTAAATAAAATGACAAAATAAATTATTCCGCAGTAACGGAATATATTGTCCCAGACAAGTTAATAGTTAAAAGAATGAGATACCAGAGGTCAGTGGAATATTCAGCTAACCCAATAACAAACCATGAGTAAACCCTATATAGGCAGACTTGTCCTATGAACAATATAGGGTCCCCCTGTAATAGTTCTGCTAAATTGTGCTGTGATAAGTTAGCTAATTGTACTTTTTCTGATCACGCTTTCTAGTTTTGTTTTTGGAAGAGTTTCTATTGATACTGTGTTAGCTCCTTTGTGTATCACTATCAACATTTTGTTTTTTCTCTTACAGATTTAGCAGCCAGCATCCAACTGTCAATGATGACCTCCCAAATTGCATTATTTCAGGGAAAATTGTCATGAAATCAAACATCACAGAGTTTACTGATACTGCTGCCATCTTTGAAGATGGTTCCAAGGAAGAGGATATCGACTGTGTTATTTTTGCTACAGGATACAGTTTCTCATTTCCTTTCCTTGGGAACGTTATGAGAGTTGTTGAAAATAATATCTCCTTATATAAGTTTGTCTTCTCACCTCAACTGGAGAAACCCACACTAGCAATCATTGGTCTTGTGCAGCCACTGGGGGCCATCATGCCCATTGCAGAACTGCAAGCTCGCTGGGCTACACGTGTCTTTAAGGGTAAGGTCTTTCAAAGTTTGACTGGATCAAGGTTCTTCAAACTTGGCAAGTTTAAGGCTTGTGGACTTCAACTTCCAGAATTCCTGAGCTAACATGGAGGAGGAATTCTGGGAGTTGAAGTCCACAAGTCTTAAAGCTGTCAAGTTTGAAGACCCCTGGTCTGGATTATCAATGTACTAATCTTGGGCACTGGGTTCACTATATTTATCATGGTTCACTGAAGTGTACTGAAATAATCCAATTGCTTGAGTTTACACAACATGCCAAATGATAAGCAATTATGCCAGCTGAATTATCATAACAGTCTGAACAACACATCAAGTGAAACCAGCTATACTTTCAGAATGAAAATTGCAAACCAAGCTAGAAATGATATTTTGATGGTACTGGGCATTTATTTTCTGGCATTAAACTATTTATCTAATGAGAGCTGCCATTGAAGAAATTTCCTCATATGGACTATCTTCAGAAATCTTCCTACTTGATCAGCCAATCTTAATTACGAATAGAATATCATAGAGGAAAAGATGATTCCATCCATTCTGGATAGGATGTTTTAATTTAGCTGAATAAAAGTGTTTTCAGAAATTCTTTGTTTTCATTTCTCTGTCTTTAGAAACCTTCCTTCCTTTAGATCCATGAAAGTATTGTCTCTTAATTTTTGACCCACTTTTTTAGGACTTGCTGAGCTGCCATCAACAAATGAGATGATATCTGATATTACTGTTAAGAAATTTTCCATGGCAAAAAGGTATGTGTTTCAACTGTTGAAATGTGTATCAGTCTTCTAATACTTACTTTAAGCATAATAATTGGTAAACATGTTGATTGGATAGGTGATCTTCTGTCCTATAACATATTTGCAGACTTTTCTAAGCAGGTGACACTGTCAGGCTTCCCGACACTAAAGCCTCTTAAGAGACATCCATAAGAGGCAGAAACTAAATCTTTACTATATTTCAGAACAGTCAGTTGATATTTACTGAGCAGTTGAATCTCAGTGGTAAATTTTTTCCTAGATGAAATCCAGCATTTTTCCCCATGTCCATTCATTTCGTAATGGAGCTCTGAGAACACAGATGTCTATGCACTAAGGCCCAAAGTATGAGAATCAAACAGGGTGAACTTTAAGTCCTAGTACATGAGGGCAATACAATATTGTTTCTGTTATAATATGTACAGAATAACCCTTGAGTAACAAGGATATGCACATGGAAATGTTTATGAGAGTAGTTATGAATAATTATTCAGCTACACACAGATGCACTAAATTGAGTTAAAGTTTACTTTAAGAAATATCACAGTCCAATAAACGGTCCAGGTCATATACGTTTTACAGTCCAAAGAATATCCAATTACAAAGTCTTCTTCCTGGTTGCCTTTGTCATTTACAGTAAACAAAAATATCAAAATATAAGCACAGCATAAATACAACAGAGAACCTTAGATAGCAACAGAATGTCAGAGAGACAGAATGTCAGAGAAAGCAAGCTATGATCTCTAGCTTCCTCTTATGGTAATTTGCAATATAATCAACCAATCGAAATATAGTATAAATCAATACAGTGATTTTGTCTTAAAGCTACAAACATACATTGTTGGTTTATATATTGCCAACCCAACTAATTGGTGGACAGATTCCTAACAGTTTCCATTACCACTGGCATGATATTCTTCTGACTAAAATCGGAATTCTGATTTTTTTTCTTTTCCGAACAGTGATTCCTACTTTTTTTCATTTTTGCCATAAACTCTCGATCCTTTTCTGTTGTCGGTCTAGACCTTTCCGCGCCGCCGATCGATCTGATCAGAGCTAGCTCCGCGGCCATGAGCCGCGCCAGCCAGGCAGAGCGAGCTAGTGTACAAGGGGCTGGGGCGCGTGCTGGCTCGTGTATACGGCCTGTGTTTCAATCAGTCATACGCATGCCCAAAAGTCAGTGTGGAAATTTTCGCGCATTTCGCGCAACCACACAGCGCGAAAATAAAAGCACGCAAATATTTTTTCTTGTTATACATACCTCTAGGTACGCGTTGATTCCGCGAAATTAGAAACACGTGAAATTATTTTAACTTGACCAAACACGAAAATTAATCATGCGAAAATATCTACTTTTACAACATGCCGTGTATCGCCGTTACTTATGCACATGCTGGATTTGGCCTCCCGTACCTAAAGACAGTGAAAACAGCATGGCTTCTCGGTGGAAAATTTTGGAAAGAAAGGATGAAGCCCTTGTCAGGAAAATTGATGGAACTGTCCATGACAAGTGGAATTGGGAATGGACCCAGAGAACTGTTGATGGCACCATGATATCTGAATGCATCAGAAAAGTTGCGGAACCAGGGAAAGCATTTTGTGTCTGGTGTGAAAGTGTTATCACCTATGCAAAGGGTGGCCTCGTTGTGATAAAGCGGCATATGACAAAGAAGAAACACATGGATGTGAAGAAACTTAGGGAGACAAATTACAGCCTTAGTGGTAAGTTTCATCTGTGATCTCATTTATTTTATGTTTTGTAATCATTTCTGTCTTCACGTCCGGACCAAGTTACAACTAAAACTTGGAATTCGTTCGTTCATATTTGTGCTTGCATGTGTACGGGATCGACATTTAGACAGTGCTATGCAGGGATGCCCAGCTCGAAATATACAGAAAACTCTTCATGAAACCCCTCGATTTTAAAACCGTAAGTCCCCAAAATTGGCGTTGGAAAGTTACTGTAGAGTGTGTAGATAATTTTTTACATGAAAAATTTGTGTTTTTTAGCCCCAAACTTTCCCCCCTTTGCGAAGTTAATTAGTCATTGAATAGTGGTGCTGACTGCAATTTCGATACGATCCCTGAATTGCCAAAGCAAACCGGCTGACTATATCAGGGCGTACTGCAGGCTAGCCCTGCCAGAGTTCCGGGGGTGAATACTGGTGGCACGAGTCTCTGTGCTGTGTGGGTTTGTTGGTCGGCTCGAGTAGACGGCTCCATTCCAATCTTACGTGAATGGGGTTTTTATGCTGGTTTGATTTATTTGATGAAATTTAATTAGAGATTAAGTGATTGAAGGAGTGTTTAGTGAATGCATCCAAACTTATTTTTCAATTTATTTATTTTTTCTATTTATTTAGTCTTTTTTTTTTTTACCCAGGGTAGCTTTATCAGTGGTTATTATAAACTGGTTTACTGTACGTGAAGGCCCTGCATATTAATTAATATAGCATCACAAACAAACAAAAATTGAATAAACATATAATTAGACTTGATCACAAACAATTTTGAATAAACAACATGTAAATAACCAATTGTGAACTCAGCAAGTTTAGATCAGGAGAAAAACCATGCCTCCAATTCAACATCTGCCTCAGAGGAAATCTATGAACATTTATGACTTTAGGGAAGATAAATTTGTAAATAATTTCAAGGTATTTGGGTATTGAAACATGAAGTAAATGTGTCATAAATTGTATTTCTAAAAATGTTTTAAAGCGTGACAAATCTCACAATATCTTCAAAAATTATTTATTTCCTGTAATATTAATTATATAGGAAATGTCGGTACATAGTATCATAAATTTTATAGTAGTACATTGTTATTAATAATAATATAATAATAATTATAATTGTAGTTATTATTATTAACACCATCATCATTATTATGATGTCATATTACTTTGTTTTACCTCTTCCTCTCTCTTTTTACAGCTGCATTTGCTCCCTCAACATCAACCTCCAGCTCAACGTATGGCTTGCACCCTTCCGTCAAGTCAAACGTAGCACCATCTTGTCCACCTCTTCAAGCCTCGGTTCCACTCTTGGACAGAGTTACGAACCACGAGGCCATGCTGTTGGCGTTTCTTACAGAGAAGTCGCTTCCATTCAGCTTGGCACCAGATTTGATCAGCTTGTCACAGGCTCTTGCTGGAGATCCCAAGGTCCTAAGTCAACTCTCCATGGACAGAAATACTGCATCATATAAAATGGAATATGGCCTTGCGAAGACTATCAAAGATGACTTAGTGAAGGACCTCCAAAGCAACAAGTTCTCAATGAACATTGATGAGGCAACCTCTGACAGCAACAAGAAAATTTTGACTGTCCTGGTGAGCTACTACTCTGATTCTCTGAAGAAGGTTATAATTCAGCACTTTGCCTCACTTAGTTTGATAGTGGTGAACAGTGAGAATCTTGAAAAAGAAATCAATGCTTTGCTAAAACAACACAACATACCGTGGGAAAACGTCATGTCTATTCTCATGGATTCCTGCAATGTTATGAGGGGCTCAAAGGCTGGATTGGAGACAAGGATAAGGACAAAGCATGCTCCTCATCTCCTGGACATTGATGGAGATGTGTGTCATCATGTACTTCTTGCAAGAAGTTCTCAAGTGCTTTTGAACATTATTTAGAAGAGCTATTCACCTCCATCTACAAAGATTTCAAATGGCGGATCTTCGCCAGTACCTGGTAGAGCTGAGCATCATTCTTGGAGTAAAGTTCACCATGCCAGAGAGATATGTTCCAACCAGGTGGCTTAGTGTGTATGATGTAGCAGTTGACACTCTAAGGTTGTTTGAAGGGTACACTATCTTCTACTTCTCCTTCCTACCTTCATTCGATCGTCAGCATTTTTTCTTCTTGTGCAAGGGTATCTTCAACACAAAGGATATTGGAGACAAAGCTGTCAGGACTATCAGAGCAGTTCAAGTCAAGCTCAGAGAGAAGAAGATGACAGGAGAGGGGAAACAATGAAAAGAAAGAATCACACAGAAGCTGTTTGTGAATCACAGCTACACAAGATTGCTCCTTCATTTCTATTGTGCTTCCTTGCCTCTATTGAAGAAGTTTATTCTGGTGTTTCAGAAGAAGGAAACACAAAATCCACAACCTGCATGATGAAGTTGTAGACTTGACGAAGAACTTCTTTGCATGCTTTGTGAAGCCAGAAGTACTTCGTGACTGTAAAGTGTGTGCAGTAGATGTCCAAGCTGAGACTTCTTTGTTACCATGTATAGACATGTTTGTTGGGCCTGAAGTGAAAGAGATTCTCAAGAAAGAGAAGGAGGAGGTGAAGAACGGATTCCTTACTAGGGTAAGGTCTGCCTATGTTTCAGCTGGAAAATGCTTGCAGGAAAAACTGCCTATCAAGAACAAATTACTTGCTCATTTCTCAGCAACAGACCCCATTGTGAGAGGACACTCCCAAGCACTGAAGTGCATGAAGGCACTTCCACAGCTTCTACCAAATGTCTTGGAAGCTTCAGAAGTAGAGCCCTACATACTAGAGGTTCACCGGTATCACAGTGATGCCAGGATACCTAGTGCAGCAGACCAAGCAATGATAGACAACTGGTGGACTGGGATTGCTTCAGCAGGAAAGTATCCTTGCCTCTTCAAGATGATGAAAGCAATCATGAGCTGCTTCCATGGACCCCAAGTTGAGAGTTCTTTCAGCCTAATGGGTAACATTATAACTTCCAAGACATCTCGCCTTGAACATGACCCAGTGAATCCAAGTCTTGTAAGAAATATGAGAAGGGCACATAAATCGTACATGGAAGAACTGAAGACAATAAAACAGAAGCTTGCAGCAAAGAGGGCCAATCTGGAACTGAAGAGGAAGACAACTGTAGCCAAAAGACAGGCCAGACTCAAAGTTATGCTATCAACTCAACTAGCTAGAAAGAAGCATAGAGAAGCAATGCTGATCAAGGGAAAGGGAACGAAGAGAAAGTCCAATTAGAGGTGAAGCATTGTGGCTCTTTTTCTGTCCGTTAAGCAGGGTTTGTTTGTTGTTTTTGTTTGTTTGTTTGTTTTATTTTTTAAATGTGAAATCCTTTGCGCGAGAGTATTCTCATGGTGCTTTTTATTATTATTTTTTGTCAAATAATAAAACTATCATGCAGACTCACCTTGAAAAATCACTTTTGATTACTTTACTCTGCTAAAGCTTCAAGGGGGTGTTGCCAATTTAATTCCCACCGGGGCACTGTGCGGACCACGGCTGGTGCTTAGGCAACCCCTGCACCCCTGGCTACTTTTCAGATTTTTTTTTCAGAGGGGAATATCATGCCTGCTTACCAGGACTTGGTGGGATGAAGCCCATGATTGGAACGTATTGTTAGAAGGATATAAATTGTTTAAAAGAAACAGACCTAACAAAGGAGGAGGTAGAGTTGCATTATATGCAAGAAATCACTGCACCTCTACAGAAATGCACAAAAACAAAGATGAAAGCCTTTTTTCAATGCATTTGGGTTAATATAAGATAAGATAACCTTTATCGTCACTTTTTTCTATCAACATATTGGCATACATTAAAAATGAAACTCTGTTGCTTGCTCTCAAAACAGTATGTGAGTACGCACACACACACACACACAATATGTATCTATCTATCTATCTATCTATCTATCTATCTATCTATCTATCTATCTATCTTTGGTTATTTGGGTTTTCTCCCGCGTAAAATTGGAAGTATCTAGGCGACATTTCGATGAAGTCTCATTCATCATCTTCAGGCTTGTGTCTTCAGCTTTGTGCTTCTTCTGTGCTTACGCGGGAGAAAACCCGAATAACCAAAGAACCACATACAAATACCCGCAAGAACCTCAGAAAACACACACACACACACACACACACACACACACACATATATATAGTGACTGGAAGGTTTGAGCCTGCTGTAAGCTTTGAGACTGATGTATCAGAAGACACAGGGTCGAGTGATGAGGAAGGTTTGGCATTGGAATTGGAGCCTGCTCTAATGAGATGCAGACGTGAGCCAGGAGGATGAGGGAGTGTCGGAAACACCCTCCTCTCCAGAACCTTCCACTTCAATCACGCCTCAGGTGTCAGCAGCTGATCCACAGAACTTACCAGAGTCCTTGAGTGATGACGAATGTTGGGTTGATGCAAGGACTAGACACAGGTTGAGATGTCAAGCACAATTTGAAAAGAAACGTCAAGTCAGAGACTAATTAGAGAGACTGACACGCCCCTTCAAGGAATATAAGGAGGCGTGATAGTTAACAATCCTTGTCTGGATCAATCTTCATTAATTACTGCGCAGCTTTGAAGAAACCTCTGTTCCAGATTTATCTTGCGTTATCTCGGCTTGAAGACAGTTTCTGGGAAAGCTGCCAACGACAATTACAGAGACAAGTTAACTCTGTGGTTTCTGGTATTATTTGTTCACATCTATTTCTTTGGGACATTTGGACTCTCACTTGTGGCTACAAGTGAGACAAAACATATATATATATGTGTGTGTGTTTGTGTGTGTGTGTGTTTTCTTAAGTTTTCGCAGGTACTTACATGTATGGTATTCAGCTTTGTTCAGGTATTTTCCCACGCCATTATAGTTGTGCTTTTAAAGTTGTAGCAACGTTTCGGCAGAATCTCATCTGCCATCATCAGCCTTCTGTATAGTGTTCGTCTGTGAGTCAGACTTTCTGACTCACAGATGAACACTATACAGAAGCCTGATGATGGCAGATGAGATTCTGCCGAAATGTTTCTACACATTTAAAAGCACAACTATAATGACTTGGGAAAATACCTGAACAAAGCTGAATACCATACATACATACATACATACATACATACATACATACTTACATACATACATACATACATACATACATAAATCATGGTCAATTTTGAATGCATAGTGGAAAAACAAATCTTGAGCCTTAACAAGGTCGATACTACCATGTTTCCCTAAAAATAAGACCTGGTCTTATTTTCTTTTGGGTTTGAAAATAAACACTTGGGCTTATTTTTGTGGAGGTCTTAATTTTTTTTTTCATAGTCCCCATTAACATTTTTATTGAGTTATAAACAGAGGTGGTATTCAGCTAATTTGGACGGTTCGGGTGAACTGGTAGCAGAAATTCGTAGGACCAGCAAATACTACCTTTGGCTGGCCCTGGCCCCACCTGCACAGTCACCTGGTTGCCACTCGGTGCTGCTTGCCCGCTGCCTGCCCCACCTGCCAAACCGCTCGCCCCACCTGCCTACTCACCCCACCCCACCCAGTCACTCCTCATCTTGCTTGCTGCATCATTGCAAACCTACCTTCGCCTGCCATTGCTGCCTACCTTCTGCTGCAGCCCTGATCTCCCTGGGTGAGTTATTGTGCAAGCCCTGGTCGAGTCGACTCCTGGCATGGCCTACCTGTTTCTGCTGCCACAAGCCCCAGTTCAGTGCTGACTCCCAGTCCAGCCTAGGCCGCTGTGCGCCCCCCCCCCCCATCTCCGGGCTTGACTGGCTTGCTTTGCTGCCAGTGTCACGTCTCCATCACATGCGGTCCTCAAGGTATGGCTAGCTAGCTGCCCCACCCCACTGTACTGGCTGGGACAACAGGAGAGCCTTCCTTCCCCTTGCCAGGAAGCCACATGGCTATGCTGGCTAAGAGGATACTTGCCTCATGCAACATTGCCCACCTGCCTTGCCAGTGTGTGTCAGAAGAAAGGGAAGCAAAAAGTTCAGCCAAATCCTCTCCTCTTTCTCAGGCATACATACAGAGAATACCTTCTGCAAGGAGAGGGCGCGGAGTGAGTCCTTCCGGTGCCATGAGATGTGCGCATGCTCTGTGTGTATGCCCGAGAAGGAGGAAAAGTCTTGGCTGAACGTTTCTGCCTCCCTTCGCAGCAGAGCTGCTCAGAAGGCAGCAGGACCTTTAAGGTACTTCAATGCAGGAGGGAGAGAGGGACCATAAAGGAACAGGCAGGCCGCAGGAGCTGCCTTCCGAGCATCTCCACTGGGAAGGGAGGCAGAAAAGTTCAGCAAGTCTTTTCCTTCTTGAGCATACACACAGAGCATGAACACATCTTATGGCGCCAGGATCTTCTGTGAGGAGACGGCACATGGACGAGTCCCTCTTGCACCATGAAATGGGTGCATGCTCTGTGTGTATGCCCGAGAAGGAGGAGGAGATTTGCCAAACTTTTCTGCCTCCCTTCGCAGTGCGAAGGCAGCTGCCGCAGTCTGTCTCTTTAAGGTACTTCGATGAGCTGGTGCGGTTCTTTACTTGGGTAGCCCGATGACGCCACAGTGCCTGCAGTAGCAACAAGCAATGTTGCAACAATGAAGTACAGTAAGATTTGACAGTGCAGAAATTGGTCCGTACGAAAATAGTGCATCTCTAAGGGGCTTCTGACCAAAAAAACCAAAAAAACCAACACCACCCCAAAACAAAACCCATTCGGCAGGCAGACTTGGCAAGCAGTCGCAATCTTCAGATTGGCTTTTATTTTGTCAGCCCAAGGGCAGGGGGTGGGGGAAGGTACGTAGGGAATTACCCTGTCTCTGCAGCATCGGTCATGTGACTGAGTGGGCATGGCCAACTCGACATCACTCAAAGGAAGGTGCCACCCCACCATGCCATGAGTGACATTGAGTTGGCTACACCCATCCAGTCACATGACCACCTAGCCACGCCCACAGAACCGGTGGTAGTAAATTTTAAATCCTACCACTGATTATAAAGTATTATAAAATATAAAATACAAAGGAAATAGAAAAGCGGTGGGCAGGAGAGGGGAAAGAAAAGTTAGAAAAGATAAGAAAGAAAAAGAACCATTGACCTCTGAACTCTCTCTGTTACAGTAAAATAAGGCATTAACATCAAATCACATCACAGCTTTTTGCTTTTTCATAACAATATGAGCAAGCCATTTCTATAAAAATCTATCAGTCTAATTAGTAAAACCCAAAGTCAGAGTTTCATTCTTCTCCACATCAAGCACAAAGTTCAGAAGCAGTCTCCATGTGGAAACAAAAGTACTTATATTCTTTTCTTTAATCAAAGTGGTCAGTTTTGCCATTTCGGCCAACTCCATTAACTTCTGCTACCATTCATCCATAGAAGGAATCGAAGCGTCCTTCCATCTTTGTGCATACAATAGCCTTGCTGCTGTCAGCATATATAATAACAAAGTTCCAATTTTTTCTCTACTTCTTTTTCCATTAAACACAAAAGGAAAATTTCTGGTTTCATTTTCATCTGCGTTTTCACATTTTTTTGTATTAAAATATGAATCATATGTTTATACATCTTAGATAATGTATCTGTGTTAAATACCAACAATACGTCATCTTATAAATTTGTTCTTTTAGATTGTAACTTAATGTGAATTTTAAACTCTTCATCCACATATTTTCCCATTGTTCAAGTATCACATTGTATCCAAAGTTCCTTGCTCAGTGAATCATACAATATTCATTTTCCAAATTTAAGTTCAATAACATTGTATTGATTTTAGTAATAATATATTCATCGTTGCCACATAATGAAATTTCCAATTCATTTTTAACAAAGTCAAATCCATTTTTTATCCAGTTTAAACCTTTCTCTGAGGCTAGGCATCTTCTAGGTATCTTCATCCTTGCAGTCCCTGTCCTCTGGAACATCTGCACTAAGAAACACTTGGCCCCACTCCCATGTTTAAAAGAGCCTTGAAAATCTGTTTTCTCCAGACCTTGGGTTTTCTATGCTATACTCTTCTTCATTGGTTGTTCTTTCTTTTGCTGTTTGAGTTTTATAAATTGTATGTTGTTATTGTTTTTACTATAAGCCATTCAGGCATTATAGAGTTGGACTGCTTTGTTAATCATTTCTCCTCCTGCTTGTCTTTTTTAGATATGTGAAAAGTCAACGCCACACCATCCAAGTGGACTTCATAGACTATATGGATGAACTGGCTTCTCTGATTGGGGTCAAGCCCAGCATATGGTCCCGGTTTATCACAGATCCTAAGCTGGCCCAGGAGCTTTTCTTTGGGGCATGTACTCCGTATCAGTATCGCTTGCAAGGACCAGGAAAATGGGAGGGAGCCAGGAAAGCTATCCTGATGCAGCATGAACGGATCTTGAAACCCTTGCAAACCAGGCTAGTTACTGAATCAGACAACAATGCCTTAGTGCCCCTTTGGTTTAAGTTAGTTGGCCTTCTTCTTCTGTTTGCTGCAATTTGGGCTTATTTTTAAGTCCACAGAAGTTCTATTCTCCTAATGCCAATCCCAACCTACATAGATTTTGGCATTACAATTTCATCTTTGTGCCTTCAATAATTTACCTATTAAGTCTGAACATATAAACATATTTTATTTCTCTAAAAGTAGCAGTATTTTACTATATTATGTGTAAGTTTCACCCACAAATGATTGTTAATGTTTCTTGTTAGGGGACATGTGTAGGTAATTCCCCATTAGGAGAATGAGTGCGACCAGGGAAATGTAGTGAGAGTAGTGAAGAATAACACACAACGAGCACACAGATACACTGTATGGTAGGTTTGTAGGTTTTTACTTCCAATAAACGTTTAAGCAAAGTCCAAAAAAGCAGTCCAAGTCATTCACAGGTAAAACAGTCAGTTTTCAGTCCAGGGATAATTCAAATAACAAAGTCCAGTATCAAAAACAGTTCAGTAAACAGATTTACATCAAATTCAAGAAGAAATATGATCAGTAAACAATCAATAGTCAATAGGAACGGCAACACTCTCCAGAATAACAGAACAGGAACTGAACAACCCAGGTTTCTGGCTCCATCTTATGGCCATTTGAGGAACCACACCCAATTATAGTTTTAGCATTCTCTTAATGAGACAGTATTAAAATGTCTATCCTGGTTTATATATTTTCCAACCCAACTAACTGTTAGGTGACTTCCATTCCTAACATTCTCCCCTTTGGGTAGGACAATATATACAACCTTACATTCTATGTCCATAATCCTCACAGCAAGCCTTATGCTCTACAAAGCCTTGGGGTTTTGTAAAATGATCTGCGATGTTATTTTCTGACATATAGTATTCCAGCTTAATCATCTTACTTTGCGCACATTGTCTCACATTTAAATATCTTAAATCTGTGTGTTTTGATCTTGTCTTAACAGCAATATTTGAAGCCATTTGTATTGCTGATTGGTTTTCTCCATAAACAACAATAGAATCTGTTACATCGATTCCCATATCAATTACTAGTTGCTTATAACAAATTAAATCTGTACATAATAAAGATAAACATGAGAATTCAGCCTCCATTGTTGACAAACTTAGATGTTACTGTCGAATAGACCTCCATCCAATCTACACTTTTCCTAATAATACTACAGTACCCGATGTAGATTTACATGTATTTATGTCTGTAGCAAAACTTGCATCAGCATATGCAGTTAAACTCAGTTCATCTTTAGGCTCCAAATACAATTCATAATGCATTGTTTGTTTCAGATATCTTAACACACGCTTAGCAGCTTGCCAGTGCCTTTCATTTGGCTCAGCATTAAATCTGGCTAATTGGTTAATACAGTATGCTATATCTGGCCTTGACCAATTACTGAGATAAGGTAAACTACCAATCAAGGACTGATAAATGTTCTTAAAAAATAGGACTTTGAACATCACTATGGCTAAACTCCTGCCTCATTGGTGTCTTAGCTGGTTTACAAAGTTCCCTTTTAAAATTCTTTAGTAATTGGTTAATTTTATCTGCCTGTGAGATCTTGTATCCTTCCCTGGTTCTATCTATCTTTAAACCAAGATATTGTTTGATTTTTCCTAACTGTTTTATCTTAAATTTCTTCTCTAACAGTGAGATTATTTTAGTAGCTTCTTGTTCAGTTTTGGTGATTAATGCTATGTCATCAGTAAATAATAGCAACAATGACACTACACCATTACTTTCCTTTTTAAACAAACATGGATCAGCCATGCCAGCTACAAAACCTATCTTAGTTAAGTCCTTAACTATACACTGGTTCCACTCATATCCTGATTGCTTCAAGCCATAAAGACTCTTTTTCAACCTCCAGCAATCAGTTGTATTATCATTTTTGATACCTAAAGTTTTCTTTAAATATATAGTGTGTTGCAATGGTGCATGTAGATATGCCGTCTCTACATCTAAATAATTTATAATGTATTTATCCTTAGCTGCTCACACTAATGCTGCTTGTAATTTAGTAGCCTTCAGACTAGGTGCAAACACCTCATCGTAGTTGTTTGCTGTCTGACTGAACCCTTGTGCTACTAACCTGGCTTTATGGGTAACAGTCCCATCTACACTAGTCTTAATCTTATAAATCCATTTACACCCTATGGCTTGTTCACCTCGTGGTAACCTGACATTTTCATATACCCCCAGTTTTTGTAAGGATTTCAGTTCCTTATCCAGTGCTTCCTGCCAAGCAGCCTGATCCTTAGCAGGATACAGTTTTAGTTCACTATAGTTACTTGGAACTGTATTCACTTGGCATACAACACTAGCCTGGTATCTATCAGGTGGTTGTGTTGCTCAGGTTGAATGTCTTGGTAATACAGGGCTTACTGGTGGACTCACCTGTTCTACCTGCTCCTGTTCTCCTACCTCCTCCTGTGCCCGTTCTCCTACTTCCCCCTGTTCTTCCTCTTTAATGGCTATTTGTGGTTTACTTGTTTTATCTTTAGGGACTATTTGGGTGTCAATTATAACATCATTGTTGGATTCCTGTTCCAGTTTATTCCACCCAACGTGCTCAAGAAATTTAGCACTAGCGGTTCCATAAACAGGAGCTGTGCCTTGATCCCAGAATCTAAACGATCTATGGTTGGCCTCATAATCTACGAAAAATAACTTCCTACCTCTATGTTGCCCTTTCAGTCTTACTTGTGAGGGAATATGCACCCATGCTGGAGCTCTACATGTGTAAATAACTTAAATTTGGTTTTCTGCCATACCAACGAGTGAATGGCAATTCTCCAGTTGTTGTGTTAACTACATTGTTCAACACATGGTTACTACACATTATGGCCTCACCCCACAGTGTTTCAGGCAAACCTGAATCAAATAACATAGTGCGAGCCATGGCTTGTAACATTTGCCCTCTAAATTCTACAAACTAGTTATGTTGTGGTCTGTAAGGTGCAGAACGTTTATGCTCGACACTAGCCAATTTCAACATAGTTTGGAATTTCTTGTTAACAAACTCAGTCCCGTTATCAGTAACTAAAGTAATTACTTTACTCCTTATTTTTCTCTCAGCAAACCTTAGCCAGTTAAAGAAATGTTGGAATGTTTCTGTTTTGTTTTTCATGAGATAGCAGAAACCGTACCGTGAGTAATGGTCCATTATATTCAAAACTTAGCAGGCACCTCCCAAACTAGGTTTCTTAGGACCAATTATGTCAGCAAACACAACCTCTAAAGGTTCTTTGGTCTTAAACCCATTTAGTCTGTTTGCTGGAGCAACCTTGCTTTTCTCTTGGCTACAAGCATTACATTTTAAATACTTGCTACAGGGTTTCAATTTTACTCCCTCTGACAATTCCACAGTTTGTTTGAGCATTTTGAAATTAATATGCCCCAAACGTCTATGCAGTAGATGTATACATTCATCATGTGGCTTAACATTGTTATAAACTGAGTTAGCCATCTTCAACTGATCACCAGGTATCACATATAAATCATTCTCTAAATTAGCAGTAACACTTTTACCCTCTTTCTCTATTATACAGTTATCTCCCCTAAAGGTTATTACATAACCAATATTAACTAAAGCCCTTACTGATAACAAATTAAATTCAGTTTAGGTACATATAACATAGTTAAATGCTCATTTAAACATGAACAATATGCAGTACCCTCACCAGACGCTTTCATCTATTTGCCAATGATACATGTTGCTTACTCATAGACATGTTTACAAACCTCTATATTGAGTAATGCACCGCGATGCTCCACTATCAACAACACACAAATCATGATTTACAGTTGAATTGCTAGACATAGTTAAACTAACATTCCTCTTAGCCTTCTGGTGATTACCAGTATTCTGTTGTTTTCCCTTCTTACAGAATTTAGCTATATGTCCCCTAGCCCCATAAGAAAAACATTTCCTAACAGTATAGGCAGTTGAACACAAATCTTCTTCTTGTGGATGTTCCTTTCTCAGTTGGTCCCTATCCAGCCATCTTCTTGCCTCTTCTAACAATCTTCCAGTTATGTCAGTCAATGTCAGTTCATCTTTGGTCAGGAATTCCAGTGAAGATACGTAATAATCATAACTTTCATCCAATGAGGAAAGAATGATGTAAACTTGATGCAGCTCTGAAAATATCAGTTCCTTTTCATGTAGCTCTTGAAAAGTTCTTTTCATGAATTTCAAATGAGCTAACATATCTACACCTTTCAGAAGATGTGCTCTAAATACTTTACGTGTAAGATGTATGTGTGCACCTACACTGTCACGAACATAAATCCTCTTCAAATTCTCCCAACACCTAGCAGGAGACTCTTCTCCATGAATATGGACTAGTTGCTCGTCACTCAGTGTTGGTCCAATTATACAAAGAGCTCGTTCGTTGTTCTGTTTAAAGTCAGCAAGCTTCTTGGCATTGTCCTCATTTTCTGGATCCCAAGCATTTACATCCGGTGGTTCTTGAACTACATTCCAAAACCCTTCTCTACGCAGAAGTAGACTGCACTTCCTAGACCAGGAACATTGTTTGTTCCATCCAACCGGGTTATCAGTGATAGACTTGTTGATGGGTCTTGTGCCATCTTTACAAGGATAGTAACCCACAATTAAACAGTAAACAGCTGTCTGTATAAGGTATTGTGTTTTTCACACCAACTCTCAGTTATCTGAGCCTGGTGTGGCCTGGGTCCATAACCAGTGTTGAGGTAATTCCCTGTTAGGAGAATGAGTGTGACCAGGGAAACGTAGTGAGAGTAGTGAAGAATAACACACAACTAGCACACAGATACACTATATAGTAAAATGTAGGTTTTTACTTCCAATAAACATTTAAGCAAAGTCCAAACAAGCAGTCCAAGTCATTCATAGTTAAAACAGTCAGTTTTCAGTCCAGGGATAATCCAAATAACAAAGTCCAGTATCAAAAACAGTTTGTAACAGACTTACATCAAATCCAAGAGGAACTATGATCAGTAAACAATCAATAGTCAATAGGAACCAGAACAACAGAACAGGAACTGAACAACCCAGGTTTCTGGCTCCATCTTATGGCCATTTGAGGAACCATATCCAATTACAGTTTTAGCATTCTCTTAAAGAGACTGTCTTAAAATGTCTATCCTGGTTTATATATTTTCCAACCCAAATAACTGTTAGGTGACTTACATTCGTAACAGGACAGTTTTGTATTATTCATTTTATTGAGTGTACTTTTATTGGTCAATGATAATAAAGCTCCGTCTGTTTCATATATTTCTGTTATCCTTCTATTCATGTAAGTCAGTTTTGCTAGATGAGAATG